TAGATTGAAATGAATACAGCACACCACCTGGTAGTTCTTGTCGTACTTCTAAAAAGGCTCCATACAAAGTACACCACATTTGTCTCTATGCAGATGACACATCTGTTATCAACCAAGGAAATGATTTTCATCAACTTAAAAATAAAACGCAAACATCATTAGCCGATGCAAAAAAATGGTTTGACATGAACAAAATGAAACTAAATGCAGATAAAACCAAAATACTAACTTTTTCTACAAAAAGAGACAAAGACACTGAAATTCAAAAGATAAATTTTCTAGGCATTATGCTGTCCGAAACTTTAACGTGGTCGGACCATGTAACAAACTTAAAAAGAAAATTATCAAATTCAATATACTGCATAAAGGTTATATCTAAAAATTTACCTACAAATGAAACAAAAAGCGTCTACTTCGCTTACTTTCACAGCAGTATGGCATATCTATCTGGGGGGGGGGTCAAACAGATCTTGTCTGGGCTTGACTATATTGGAAGCTGCCGAACATTTTTTAAAACCTTAAAAATACTAACTATCTCAAGTTGTTTCATACTTACCTGCCTGGTTAATGTTCATACGAAGAAAGACACATTGCCAAAGAGCGAAGATCTACATATCTACAACACGCGTCATGGAAGTAGTCTGTTAATACCATATCACAGAATCAAAAAATCCCAGAATACTATCAACTATATATCGGTCAAATTGTACAATGCATTGCCATCAAAAATAAAAGAGTTGAATAACAAAAGGTTCAAACAGAAAGTTAAACGAATATTATTGGAAAAAGAGTATTATTCAATTGAGGAATACCTTGCGGACACGAACTTTCCAAACACATAAAAAAAAATTAATAATTGTTTGCAATATTGAGTCTTACGAACTGTATATTATTGACGAGAATAATATATAATCATACTTATTCAATAAAATTTTTATTATTAAAAGATCCACCTTCCAGGCTTTTCGGAAAACTAAGCGACCACGTTTTAGAACAAATAGTCACTGTCGTAAAAACACCTGTATACAACAAATGACAATCTATTTGATATCATCTGAAGAATAATCGTGCAAAGTTAGAGCTTTCTCGAATGAATATTGGCTGAGATATTAGGTTTTAAATAGTATAGTGAAATATGCAAAAAAAAACTTAAAGTCAAAATAACTCGAAAACGAAAAATGCTAGGTACCAGTAACTTTTATCAAAGTCAACATATTTTTGCACATATAATTAGAAGGTGTAATAAAAACTATAGCATTTCATTTCAAATAACGAAGTTGCGGTTTACTTCCGGCAGACCGGAAGTGGCCAGTATCTTGAAACTACTTTAGATCGAAAGATCGGTATAAACCTCAAATATAAACTAAATTTGAGAAACGTAGATGTATGTTCCAAGTTTAATTTCATTTCATTCAGTATAAATAAAATTTATTGGAGTTTATTTAAAACGTTTTACTTTCACACTCAATTAGAAAAAAATAGCCATAGTTTCTGTGTAAAATCGCCGGTTAGCAAAGTGTTAAGAGGGCTACACCCGAATGTGTCTAGTTTTACGTCTAGTGTTAGTTCTACTTTTCGTTCAATAAAAATATTCAACAATATAGCACTCAATAACAACTAGAACTAACACCAGACCAAGAACTAGAAACATTCGGATTTAGCCGCACGTCTCTCAAGACGGCTAAACCCGAATGATTCCAGTTCTAGATCTTGTGTTAATTCTAGTGCTAGTGTAAAACTACAACTAACACTAGACCTAGAAACATTAGCCGTGCGTCCTCAGACCCGATACTTTCTAGTTCTATAGTTCGTTTTTTTTTTATAATACTTGTCAATGTAAATTATTTAGAGTTTCTGTTGGTATTATCCAGGACCCTTATAAAATTTATGTTGTTTTCATGATTTTTAGTAACATTTTCAGTAACTAATTAGTTGAGGTTAAAATACTAATAAATTTTTAGATAAATACGATTTTGACGAAGTACATATTTGTTGTAAAAACGTGCTACAAAGTAATTAAATAGAATAAAATACCTTTTCTAGATAAGTAAATGGCAAATAAACACCCCACAACACTTTTTATGCACCTTTTCTTTTTGAATAACGAAAGCTCAAACGTCAATGTGACATATTTACTTCAAAACATGATAAAACAAAACTCCCTGTTAATTTTGCCAACTTTACAACAATTTGACAGGTATTATAGAAAAAAAATGAACTATAGGTCTAGTGTTAGTTCTAGTATTGCATTAGCACAATCACTAGAACTAATACAAGACCTAAAACTAGAATCATTCGCGTTTAGCCGTCTTGAAAGACGTGCGGCTAAACCCGAATGTTTCTAGTTCTAGATCAAGTGTTAGTTCTAGTTTTACACTAGCACTATCACTAGAACTAACGCAAGACCTAGAATTAGAATCATTCGGGTTTAGCCGTCTTGAGAGATGTGCGGCTAAACCCGAATGTTTCTAATTCCAGGTCTAGTGTTAGTTCTAGTTTTACGCTAGTACTGGTGCTATGTAGAACTAACACTACACCTAGAACTAGAATCATTTGGGTTTAACCGCACGTCCCTAAAGACGACTAAATCCAAATAATTCTAGTTCTACTATATAATTTATACGTACATTTAACCTTACAATTACTTTAATAAAAATATACAACAATCTAGCGCTTAATAACAATTAAAACTAGAACTAACACTAGACCTAGAACCAGAAAGTTTCCGGTTTAGCCGTGCTTCTTCAGACGCACGGCTAAACCCGAATGTTTCTAGTTCTAGGTCTAGTGTTAGTTCTAGTTTTACACTAGCACTGTTACTATGTAGAACGAGCAGTATACCTAGAACTAGAATGATTTGAGTTTAGCTGCACGTCTCTAAAGACAGCTAAATCCGAATGATTCTAGTTCTAGGTCTAGTGTTAGTTCTAGTTTTACACTAGCACTGTTATTATGTAGAACTAACAGTATACCTAGAACTAGAATCATTTGGGTTTAGCCGCACGTCTCTAAAGACGGCTAAACCCGAATGATTCTAGTTCTAAGTATAGTGTTAGTTTTACATAGTAACAGTGTTAGTATAAAACTAGAACTCCGTCTCTAACGAACAGTATACCTAGAACTAGAATCATTTGAGTTTAGCTGCACGTCTCTAAAGACGGCTAAATCCGAATGATTCTAGTTCTAGGTCTAGTGTTAGTTCTAGTTTTACACTAGCACTGTTACTATGTAAAGCTAACACTATACTTAGAACTAGAATCATTTGGGTTTAGCCGCACGTCTCTAAAGACGGCTAAACCCGAATGATTCTACTTCTATGTATAGTGTTAGTTTTAGTTTTACACTAGCACTGTTACTATGTAAAGCTAACACTATACTTAGAACTAGAATCATTTGGGTTTAGCCGCACGTCTCTAAAGACGGCTAACCCGAATGTTTCTAGTTTTAGGTCTTGTGTTAGTTCTAATTTTACACTACCACTGTCGCAAGAACTAAGACAAGACCTAGAACTAGAATCATTAGGGTTTAGCCGTCTTGAGAGACGTGCGACTAAACCCAAATGCTTCTAGTTCCAGGTCTTGTGTTAATTCTAATTTTAATTGAGTTTTTAATTAAACTCTGGGTTATCATAAGGACCTTTTTACAAGCAAAACTTTTCCTTTGCAAAACTATCCAATGCCTGTACTATTAAGCTATGTTGCATTTTATGTGGGACAGCATACTACATTCATGTATTGCAAGTTATATGAAATTGCCGGTATATGAATAAGTTTTAGGGTAAATATAATTTCATTTCTGAAACCATTTACAAGATCTTGAAATACACAGTGACTGCTTTACGGAGATCGAGACACATTTCGCAAATTGACCACCAAGTTATTGTTTATAAAAAAAAGAACGTGCTAAATCCACCAGCTATACTTAGCCTCACAGTGTATTATTTTTGGCCATCCCCTAGTTGGTGCGGTATATTGATGACGTTTATAAATTCATAAAACTCATGTTTCCGATCACATTTATGATTAAAACAACATTTAACTCCCTAAATAGATTAAGTACCGCCGTATTGTTGACCATATTTCATAAAGCATCAAGACTATAATATATCTTTAAATAATTTTAAATAATTATTGGTAAGTAAATCTCTAAAAAATCTAAACTTGGTCGTGGGTATAAACAGTCTTGATTAAACGATAAATAATTTTTTCTTTCTTACCTTAAACCATCTGGCTTCAGTCAGTACGATGCTATTTGTGACGTCATCTACGAGCAGTTCCGACAGGAATCCAGCAAAATCAAAAAGTTACCTTACAAGATTCTAAGGCGCTGTGGGTGAACCTGGAAGCAAAGAGAATTTGTTATTCTAGTGTGAAAAAACATAAATAAAAAAATTAAAAATATTTGTTGATTATACAAAACAAAAAAATCTTGTGGAAACCCCTTTCTTTCCATACTAATAAAATATTTAACGCTGGAAATTAACAGCAAAGTGAGCCGCAATCGAGTGTTATCGATTTTTTAATGGTATCGCGAGGTTAATACATAATTCCTCTTCAATGTAGAAAGATACGAAATATTGCAGAGAATCCAGTCCAGCTTCGTTTTCTGTCAATATTATCCCCCCTTCACTCTTTTTATGAGCCTTCCACGGGCGCCTTTGTGCCTTCCCCAATTATCCAAGCACATCAGGCAGAACTGGAAAAACTCCGGGCGAGATAAAGCTTCTTCCGCGCGACGCGCGGGGGCGCCTTTGATGCTCAGTCATGGCCCGCTATTATTTTTAATGACAGCCTTTGCGTTCGCGTCCGTCTCGCACGCGCTTCCGACGAAACGTCGATTTTATCACTATATCACGGTCGTAAACATTCGTTCCGTATTAGAAGTAGGCTTTGATCTTACCCGTTTGTCATTTGTTCCCCCGTCTTTTGTCTTCTTGCGGCCGTTTCTTGTTTTTTTCCTTTATTTTCGTAATGTTTTAAAATCCATTCGTGTTGTTCTAGGAAAGCGATGGCGAAAAAAGCGACCAGGATTTAGTTGTGGATGTCGCGAATGAGGTAAGCAAAATATTGTATGGCACTGTACACGGATTAATAAAAAAAATCGTATAGAGGGGTGAAAAAGTTTTTATACAAAATTTTTTTTTGTATAGGAAGCGCAGTCTCCTCATCCGAACGGTGAACACCCTTCTTTAGGGGGTGATATTAGAGAAAACGGAAGTACAAACGGTGATAAAATCAAGATTGAACGGCCACCGAGTAGAAGTGGGTCGTCGTCTTCGAGGAGTACCCCTTCACTGAAAAGTAAAGATGTAAGACTCATTTCAGATTCATTTACAATCATTTCTATTGTTATTAATACGTTTCATTTTTTGTTTCATAACTTCAAAAATCATTTTGATACAATTCATTAATTTAATTAAAAATGGTGTTATTTAATTTAAATTGATTGTGTAATTATTTTTTTAAGGAGAAACCTTTAACCCCCGGATCGAAACCGCGATCGACGACGCCTAATTTAGGTTCAGGCCCGGGACCCAGCGGACCTAAAGTGAATATGGGCGGATATCCATCGTATGGAATGGGCCCAAGGCAAGAACATTTAAACCCTTACAATAACATGGGTGCGTCACCTTACGGACGACCTCCACCTATGGTTGGTTACGATGGTCACCCCCATAGTAGAACACCTGGATTAACGAATGGATTAGGTTCAATACCAGGTGGAAAAGCGTAAGTGAATTATTAACTTAAAACAAATATTGAAATAAACCAAATTCGTTTTTTAGAGCTTATAGTTTTCATATGAACGGCGAGGGTCAACTTCAACCAGTACCATTTCCTACAGACGCCTTAATGGGACCTGGAATACCAAGACACGCGCGCCAAATAAACACTTTAAATCACGGCGAGGTCGTTTGCGCCGTAACGATATCTAATCCAACGAAATATGTTTATACGGGAGGAAAAGGTTGTGTTAAAGTTTGGGATATTAGCCAACCTAATTCTAAAACACCAGTATCGCAATTAGATTGTTTAGTAAGTATGCGAATTAATCAAAATTGAATAAAAACTATAACTTAAACACATTAAATTTTGTAATACAATTTAAATAGTCATCTTAAATGTTTATGACATACACTTAAAGATGAAAGTCTAATCTTGTAAATGGATGTGTTATTAAAACAGTTTTGAACGATATACAGGGTTTCCCAAAAGTAACGGATAAATTCGTTAAAACAATCAAAAATAGTTTATCAAAAAATCGCTGAGATGGATCTAAAGATTTAAATTTTTTGCATTGTTTGGTACAGATTTAAGGAATATGAAAGAGGACTTTTTTCTAAATCTAGGACAGTTAATATTAATATTGGTTACATAAGAAAATTTTCGAGAAAAATTATCTTACAGTTTCATGATTTCTATTCACTTGAGATGAAAAATAGCAGTAGCGATACGTAACCATGGCAACCAACAGTTTCAGATATCAAAAATTAATCATTGTCTTAATAAAATATCTAAAACAACCGGTTTCCATGGTTACTAACGCATGGCTACTACTATTTTTCTACCTCAAATGAATGGAAAATCATGAAACTTTAAGGCAATTTTTCTCGAAAATGTTACCAATTTTAATTTTGGCTGTATCAAATTCAGAAAAAAAACATCATATTCCGTAATAAAAATGGGGGATTGAACTAGAAACATTCGGATTTAGCCGCATGTTTCTCAAGACGGCTAAACTTGAATGTTTCTAGTTCTAGGTCTTGTGTTCTAGTGATAGTGTAAAACTAGAACTAACACCAGACCTGGAACTAGATTCGAACTACTTTCTAGTTCCAGGTCTAGTGTTAGTTCTAGTTTCAGTGCATTAAAAATATGCAACATAGTGATATCTTATGCTAACTAGCACTACTTATCACTGTCACTAGTGCTAACATTAGAACTAGAAACTTTCGGGTTTAGCCGCACGTCTTTTAAGACAGCTAAACCCGAATGTTTCTAGTTCTAGGTCTTGTGTTAGTTCTAGTGTTAGTGCAAAACCAGAACTAACACTAGACCTAGACCTAGATTCGAACTACTTTCTAGTTCTAGGTCTAGTATTAGTTTTAGTGCAATAAAAATATGCAACATAGTGATATCTTATGCTAACTAGCACTACTTATCACTGTCACTAGAACTAACATTAGAACTAGAAACATTCGGGTTTAGCCGCACGTCTCTCAAGACATGCACTTAAAGATGGAAGTCTGATTTTGCAGATGGATGTGTTATTGAAAACACTTTTGAACGATATACAGGTTTCCCAAAAGTAACGGATAAATTCGTTAAAACAATCAAAAACAGTTTTTAAAAAAATTGCTGAGAGGGATCTCAAGATTAAAATTTTTTGCATTGTTTGGTATAAATTTTAAATTTTTTCCGCCATTTTTAAACAAGTAATGACGTCATCGACATATTTTCAAATAGCAATGCTCCATTTCTATTACGGAATATGAAAGAGGACTCTTTTCTGAATCTAGTACAGTCATTATTAACATTGATTACATAAAAAAGTTTTCGAGATAAATTATCTTAAAGTTTCATGATTTTCCATTCACTTAAGATAGAAAAATAGCAGTAGCCATGCGTAACCATAGCAACGAACTGTTTCAGAATCAAAAATTAATCCACTGTCTTAATAAAATATCTAAAATAACTGGTTTCCATGGTTACACATGGCTATTTTTCTACCTCAAATGAATGGAAAATCATGCAATTTTTCTTGATAATGTAACTAATTTCAATTTTGGCTGTACCAAATTCAGAAAAAAACCTATTTCATATTCCATAATAAAAATGGGGGATTGCTATTTGAAAAAATAGCGATGACGTTTAAAAATGGCGGAATAAATTAAAAAAAAAACGAAACTACTATGCACTTGCACTATCTCAATGACAGTAGAATTTAACCAGGATTCATACACAATTCATACATTGTTGTTTTGGAGCCCACTACGGGTTGGTTGCCCGCACTCTACGTCACATTACTTGCCACGCCCAGTTAACTGTCATTACGTTCTATGCGTTGTTGTGTGTTTTTACAGGTTATATGGTAGACGTTAAGATTTACTTTTGAAGTTAATATAAATACGTCTACGATATACGATATAACCTCTAAAAATACACAGCAAACGTATAGAACACAATAACAGCTGAGTGGGCGTCGAAAATGGTGTGACGTAGAGTGCGGGCACGTTGGCACAACGATAGATGTAGCAATCCTGTTAGATTCTACTGTCCTTGGCACTGTCCCACATGAAATATTATTAGATATTGGGTGGTTTTGTAAAGGAAATGTTTTGCTTGGAAATAGGTGACGTCTTTATGGTAACCCTGAGTTTTCGGCCGTCTTAAGAGACGTATGACTATATTTCTGGTTCTAGGTCTACTGCTAGTTCTATTTTTCGTTCAATAAAAATATACCATAATATAACACAAATAACACTACAGGTAGAACTCCAAAGATTCGGGTTTAGCCGCACGTCTCTCTAGACGGCTAAACTCGGATGATTCTAATTCTAGGTCTAGTGTTAGTTGTAGTGCAAAAGTACAACTAACACTAGACCGAGAACTAGAAACATTCGGATTTAGCCGCACGTCTCTCAAGACGGCTAAACCCGAATGATTCTAGTTCTAGGTCTTGTATTAGTTCTAGTGATAGTGCCAGTCTAAAACGCACGGCTAAAAACGTCTGAAGACGCACGGCTAAACCCGATACTTTCTAGTTCTAGGTCTAGTGTTAGTTCTAGTTTTAGTACAATAAAAATATGCAACATAGTGATATCTTATGCTAACTAGCGCTACTTATCACTGTCACTAGAATTAATCGCCTTTTACGATAGTATTTTGTTTTTCTTAAAAATCTATTTCTTTCCCCATCAAAAAGCAATCTAACATTTTAATCTAGTAGCGCATGAATGTTTTACACTCGATGTTATTTTTGTCCAAATAAATAAGTAGATGTTTGTTACAAAATAAATATTTAGACAAAAATAACATCGAGTGTAAAACATTCATGCGCTACTAGATTAAAACGTTAGTGTGCTTTTTGATGGGGAAGAAATGAATTTTTAAGAAATACAAAATATTATCGTAAGATATCGTAAAGAATGTTTTTAGAATCACAATAATAAAAAAAAATTTTGGCATTTCATTTAAAAAAAAAAGTTGACAGTCGCCATTTTGAAATAATTCGTCCAATTGAAAATATGATATCACCATCGTGTAGAGAATGTCCTAAAACATATTACTGCCAAATATTTTGAAAGTAGTACCCATAGTGTGGCTAAAAAAATAAGGCGCTTACTCTGAATCAGGCTGTATATTGATGATGCAATTATTTCTCAGCTTATTATTTAGAATAGAAAGGACGTGAAATTTGTACATAATTACAATATGAGAATGACTGCACTGCAGAAGAGCCATAAATTTGATTAGTAACCACTCAATAACTAATGCTGCTAATGTGAAGCAATAATATTACCAGCGCAATACACCGCAACACATACACACTTCAGGCTTCAGACTTGTGCTCGTCGATACAATAAGTGCATGCCTTGGAAATTTTATTGCATTAAGATGATTTAGTCTCGACTATATCTAGAAATACTTTGAAGTTAAAGATCAAAGGAAAATCAAATAGAAAATAAAAACAATGTTATATAAAAATATTACACAGGGTGTTCACACAAAAAACGCCCTAACCTGTAACTCTATTATTTACACTTCGATTTTCATGACCCAGATATCAAATGAAATGGTTTTATAAATACTATGATTCACGTTACAAATAAATTTTTTACAACGCCAACTTCAAGTTTGTTGTTGGGGCGTTTTTTGTGTGACACCCGGTATATGACAAACATTATGAAAAGGAATAGTTAAATAATTGTTATGGGGAAACCTGATATATGAACTAAAAACAAATCAAAACCTATTTTTGATTAATTGTATATAAAAAGAGACGGCGTCCAACCCAACTCGAGCTGATGCGAATTGCTTATCATCAATTCAGAAAAGCTACTTTAGAACTGGTTAATACAATCTAATTAAATTTAATTAAGTACAAATCGCAGAAGTAACTTGCTGCATCAAATAGCCCAATGATCTGGGAAATTAAAAGCTTTTCAATCATATAACCTCAAATTAACTTTGACAACGAACTCCATGACACATCACGTTTCTAAACAATTTTAATCCTCTTCAATCATACTTAATAAATATCATCTATATAGTTTAACAATAGAAATAAACAAGGAATTACCAAATGAATCAAGCTAAAGTATACTTTTGTTACAAATTGACGTAACTCTCCTGAAGATGCTATGTAAATGTAGCGAAACCGGTTGAAAAAAACAATAAATAAAATCCATTAAAGTGCAAAAAACGAAGTTTTAATTTAAAAACTTTTATGTTCAGTACAAAGCAAAGTAGTAGTACATATTTCTCTATGTCATTTGCCCAGAGGTCTTGAACACAACACACACAATCTCGAAGTATCATTTATAGCTTAATATCAGTAATCCACTGGCACTGACAACTACGTCACAAATGTCCTTATTCTGGCGAGATGATATAACTGTTAATAAATTCCAAATCGGAAGATCCTCTGAAGTAAATTTTGCTAGAACTTGAACAAGAAAATGACCTTGCATCAATGCAAAAATCATTTAAAACGAAAAGTATCTTCAGATATTAGGTTCAAGATGTTGAATAAGGTTCATTTTCCTATTTAACTATCTGGTAAAAGTGAGCTCCATTGCGTCGCTTCTTCTATACAGGGTGTCCGGTATCTTCCGCATCAGGGCATTGTACAGTTGTAGGATACATTATTCGGAAGCGATCTTTCTAATACATTTTTTTCGAAATGTTTATAATAACCGCACGGGAACTGTTTTTCGACGTCTAATGGCAAATCGTAAATCAGATTCAGGTAATCGGCCCAACCCTCAGCCGGACTGCCGCGCCGCTCAAAGCACGGTTCTCACGTGTACTTACCAATAGATTCGACACGGGAAGAGAAATAAACTTTTTCGGTGAATCGAAGTCGTCCACTATTGAACAATAGCGGATGACTTTAAACAGTTCCCGTGCGGTTATTATAAACATTTCGAAAAAAATTTATTAAAAAGATCGCTTCAGAATAATGTATCCTACAACCGTATAATGTTCTGATGCGGAAGATACCGGACATCCTGTATATTCATTCGTATATTCTACGTTCTATAGTAGACGCCACGAGAGCTGGCAGTAAATCATCGTTTTCCGCTCTTACAAATGCCATACGTAGTTCACAAACCGCTAGAGACTAATGTGTATTAGAAAGAGATAGCATTAATTTAATATAGAGTGTAGATCCATGTTGCAAGTGAATTATTTAAAAAATAAAACGAAAAAACTTCTTAACTTGCTATATTTAATAAATTTGAAGTCAAACTAGTTTCGGGGCTAGCCCCATCCTCGGTGACAATGTCAATAGAAGACTAATATTGTAAACTGAAGATCATCAAAAAGGCAATTGAATGCATGTATAAAGCTGAAGGCGATATAATGCGGTGTTAAACGTGTACAGTAAAATGATTAAAATGGCGACAGCAAAAAAGCACGTTATTTCAAACGCTTGTTGAAAAATAATCAGACACCATGTTGAACCTTTAAAGAGACGTGAAGAAACGAGACTCGTTTCGTTTTTGCTGTACACGTTTAACACCGCATTATATCGCCTTCAGCTTTATACATGCATTCAATTGCCTTTTCGATTATAATATTAGTCGTCTATTGACATTGTCACTGAGGATGGGGCTAGCCCCGAAACTAGTTTGACTTCAAATTTATTAAATATAGCAAGTTAAGAAGTTTTTTCGTTTTATTTTTTAATTTAATATGTCTGCTGTACAATTCAAATGGCCACGTCGAAAAAGTACGTCTGTTCTTCTAGGAATGTAACTCTATAATTATAACCTCAAATCGAAACGTCTTGTGAGCGTTGTCATGAATATGTTAGTGTTTTCACAAGCCGAAAATCATTAACGTTAACAATGTTTAACATATAACCTCCATTACTAACATAACCTACATTTAAATGTACGTGGTGAAATAATCTAAGCGATCTGTCACTGCCAGCTCTCGTGGTTTCTACTATATCTCGTTGTCGCTTGATTATGTTTCCAGAACGTCATCTTTACCTTCTTTTCTTCGCAGCCAAAATCTACTATTTTGTCTTTATTTTCATTTCAAATTTACCCATTAATTTCCACCAAAACTGTTTTATACTAATCCAGGTTTATCCTGTTTTGAATTTCTTGTGAAGAGTATCATCTCTAGTATGTTTGGAACCATTCCATCATGCCAGATTCGATTCTTCTTTCTTTTGACACATTAGACTATACTATTCAATAGACTAATTTAAAAAACATTTTTACTTGAAACATATCAACTTTATATTTATACATCACTTTTTTATTTTAGCAAAGAGACAATTACATCCGTTCAGTAAAACTTCTTCCAGATGGAAGAACATTAATAGTGGGTGGTGAAGCATCAAATCTTTCAATATGGGACCTAGCCTCACCAACACCTCGAATAAAAGCCGAATTAACCTCAAGCGCACCAGCTTGTTACGCACTGGCGATCAGTCCAGATTCAAAAGTTTGTTTCAGTTGTTGTTCCGACGGAAATATAGCCGTTTGGGATCTTCACAATCAAACGTTGGTGCGACAATTCCAAGGTCACACCGATGGCGCTTCATGTATTGATATATCCAGCGATGGTACAAAGTTGTGGACTGGTGGTTTAGATAATACGGTGCGAAGTTGGGATCTTCGCGAAGGGAAGCAATTGCAACAACACGATTTTAGTTCGCAAATTTTCTCGTTGGGGTATTGTCCGACTGGGGAATGGTTAGCAGTTGGGATGGAAAATTCTCACGTGGAAGTTTTACACGCTTCAAAACCGGATAAATATCAATTACACCTGCATGAAAGTTGTGTGTTAAGTTTGAGATTTGCTACGTGTGGGAAATGGTTTGTTTCAACAGGGAAAGATAATTTATTAAATGCTTGGAGAACGCCTTATGGTGCTAGTATTTTTCAAGTAATTATTATTATATAATTATATAAAAATATAAATTTATTAATTAAAATTTTTTTTAGTCCAAAGAATCATCTAGCGTTTTAAGCTGCGACATTTCAACGGATGATAAATACATAGTGACGGGGTCGGGTGACAAAAAAGCGACGGTTTACGAAGTGATTTATTAAATTTAAAAAATGTGGACGAAAAAATAAAACTTTCTTAAATAGAGTGTTTATTTTTATTTGGTTTTCTTTTTTGAGGGTGGTTTAAGTAGTATCAAAAAATGTGACGCTTAAATTAAAATAATTAAGTGTAGAAAGGAATTGATACATAAAATTTAAAATTATTTGAACCCTCTCAAAAAATAAAAAAAGAAAAAGTGGTAAAGTATTATCAGTATAAATAAGGATGGACTTGAGGCGGTATAAAAAGTGGATATGGTGTAATAAAAAAAATAGTGCACTAAAACCATACTAAAACTGCCGTTTTGTTGACATATGTGTGGACTTAGGTGTTTAAAAAAAATAATAAAAAAAAAACGATGACGTGATCACATCTAGCTTTTTATTACGTTCTCAATGTTATCGAAATGAAGGAGAAAGTAGGTTATTTTTCGTAAATAAAATATTATAAAAGGTGTGTTTTAATTATCTTTATTGATTACCCATCCTTTATCTTTATTATATTACGCTTTTAATTTTTCTGACTAATAGAAGTTAAATGGGTGCCATATACTTTTGAATCACTAAATATATAATATTTAAAATGAAAACAAATTGTTCATAAAAATCTTATCATTTTGACTTGATGCCTTTTAACACACACCCGCGAACTATCAGTCTGAAGACGCACAGATAAACCAGAAATTTTTCAGTTCTATGTGTAGTGTTACTTCTAGTTTTAGTGCAATAAAAATATACAAAAATCTAACACTGAATAATGAGTAAAAATAGAACCAGAACGTTCTAGTTCTAGTGTTAGTTTTACTTTTATTCAGTATTAGACTGTAGTATATTTTTTTATTCTATACTATTTGGTGAGTATTTGCAGCTTTTTATTCTCGCATTCCAACCGCCAGCGGTCTTTATCATTCCAATCATCTTCACCCAGTCCTCTCCTCTTCATCTGCACATTGATATCTTGAACCCATTTTTATCTAAGCCTACCTCTTTTGTTTCTTTCTGCTGGCACTCAGTTCCAAACGTTAAGTGGAATTCTCTCGTTACTCATTCGACGTAGATGTCCATACCATTTTAGTTGCTTTTCATTTATAGTGTCTATTATTGAGTTTTGTGCCATCATTCTTCTTATTTCCTCATCTTCAACTCGGACCAGTATGGTTATGCCACAACATCTTCACCAAAACATCATCTCTGCTGCTAACAGTCTTCGAGTTGTGTCTTTGTCTCTCACCCACACTTCTGACCCACACGTCATTAATTGACATTTTTACTTCTATATATTCGACTATTCGACAAGCCCTGCCAATTCAGATGACGCAATAAGTAATGCTGATGAATGATCACAAGTGTCATTCTCTGAAGCCCGAACCCCTGATAACCATAATGACTCTGAAATAAGTAATACAACTCCCGTGGCTAGATCAACTCGAAATTCTAAAAAACGCGCCTCGTTTACACATTCTACTTCACATACTTCCGCTGCTTCTGTATTTCAAAATTATTTAAACAAAAAGATAAAAAATAATCATGTTTCAGAAGATCCATTTACAATCTTTTTTTCTATCAATAGCTAAAACTGTTAAAACATTTCCACTAGCGGATCAAATAGAAATAAAATGAAACCTATTTCAAAACGTAACTAAAGTAGAAATGAGAATCGCGTCAGCTAATGAAACGGCTCTTCTTGATGTTACCGACGATGTCTTGCGTGGGATTGATGAGAGGAGTGTCACTGCACTTGTTTTGATCGATTTTTCTAAGGCTTTTGACACGATTCATCATTTAACACTTCTATCAGTGTACCGCTCCATTATATTGGCCCCTCTCCGATAGCTGTTGATTTCTTTAAAAATTATTTTTTACATCGCTCTCAGATTGTTAAATTTCAGGATGCTCTATCGGAGAGAGGCCTTATTACTTCTAGAGTGCCTCAAGGATCAATTTTGGTACTTATACTGTATCTCATTTACACGATTAATCTGTGTTCTAACCTAAAGCACTGTAAAACCCATATGTATGCTGACGACACACAAGTATACTTTCGCTTTAATGGGGATAACTTAAGTGAGTCGCAATCTTTAATGAATTATGACTTGAAATTACTAGTTGAAAACGTCAAACGCCATTGCTTATCTATTAATGCTTCGAAATCATCTGTCATTATTTTGGGAACCGGTGCTCCCGCGGATGCGGCTAGGCAATCCTTGAACATTCTTTTTAACGATGAACAACTAAACTTTACGCACGTTGCCCAAATTTGGGTATTGTCATGGACTCTGATTTGAGATTTAAAGGGCATGTCAGTAATCTCCTTCAGAGAGCCGAATCAACCCTTAAGCTTTTGTATTCAAGTAAAAACTTACTGCATCAACAATTAAGAATTCATTTATGCGAGTCACTTGTGTTGTCCATTTTTAATTAGGGGGATGCTCTTTACCACTCTCGCATCGATGCCGCGAATAGATATCGTATTCAGCGGGTGCAGAATTCTTGTGTCGAATTCTTTATCTATGGTATCAGCGGACGTGAGAGAATTTCTCATACGCTCGGTTGGCTAAATATGTCACGACGTAGAATATTACACTCCGCTTGTCTGTATCATAAAATCCTTACTTATAAAACCCCTCCTTATTTATACAACAAAATTTGATATCGGACAGATATTCATAATATAAATGTTAGGCACCGTTACATGTTAACAATACCGAAGCACCGCACTGTGGCCCAGACTGAACCAAAACTGTGTCAAAAATCGAAAATCATTGCAATAATAGTTTTTCATGCTGAAATCATTTAATAACTGTGGATCAAATACACATTTTCAACTTTATTACGTTTTCCGCAAAAAAATATACAGGATGATATTAAAAAACTATAAAAATTGAAATTTGATCAAAAAACAAACACAATTTTAAACAAAATAATTGCTAATACCGGATTCCTCATCATCGTCCTCACTTTGCCACCAGGTTCTTCATTTTCCGAATTTTCTTTTACGTTGTATCACGTAACTGGTTCGTTAGAACATTTTAGGTTTTACTATTCGTACAGTTTTGAAATTTTGGTAGCATAGGTTGTTCGTTCGGATCTTTCGATCTAAAATATTTTCAAGATGTCTGCCACTTCCGGTCTACCGGAAGTAGACCAAAACTTCGTTATTTTAAATGGAATGCTATAGTTTTTATTACACCTTGTAATTGTACGTAAAAAAATATATTGACTTTTATAAAAGTTATTGGTACCTAGCGTTTTTCGTTTTCGAGTTCTTCTGGCATTGTTACCGTCTTTAGAAGTACCACAATAGTTTTTGTTTCTTCGGTTTGGTTACTTCAAACCAAAGCCAACTAATAATTTTAAATTTACTAATACTCAAGAAAATTTAATTTTTTTCAAGTTTTTACGAAAATCATAAATTTTAGATATAGGGATGTACTCACAAAGTTCCCTTATTTTTCAGCGTAGGTACAATACGGTGGTGAAGGAAAAAATTGGGGTTGCCATTTAAAAAAACAAAGTTTTCAAGTTTTCGAGATAGGGAAATTCGGCACAAATTGGTGACCAGCCTGTATAATTTTTTAAAAAACTTCAATGGTTATATAAGCTATGGCCCCTCTCTGTGCAAACCTTGAGAATATTTCGCCGGACTCCAGTGTAATTTAGAAAAATTATTTTTATTGTGAAGGGTTGCATTTGTCAAAATTTTCGAAAAACTGAAATAATTCAAAAATGGTGCACTCTAGATATATGATGACGATATATGATGACTTGTATCAAATTATATTAAAATTTAGAGGGGATCCCGAAAATTTAATAAAAATTGGCACATTCTATTTAAAATAATGAAGTTGGGGTCCATTTCCGGTATAACCGAAAGTTGGAGAAAAATGAAAATATTGTAGCTGAAATGAGCACCTTGAGTAAACCCTGTATGCAAATTTTCACAAAAATAATGCCAGTAGTTTGCCATATACATATAGACCAGTGATGACCATAACACGTCGATCGCGAAGCCAAAAAAGCGGAAAAGGCGGAATAAAGGTCAATGGCGTCTGAAAGCTGATAATTTGTACTACATTTTGATATAAATGAGAGGAATTGACTCGTTGGAAAAGTTGATCAAAACTCAAGTTATATTTTAAGTTTGAAATAAAATAAAATGATAGCAATAAAATTCATCGCTTGCCAATTAATATTTTTTTTTTAAGACAGTTGGTAAAAATATACTATTCAGAAGTTAAAGCAGCTTACCTAATAGTATTAGAATTCAAATAAAATGTTTAATGCTTTTGCAGTCATTTACAAATTTATTAAAAAACGCAATACCGAAATAATGCGACTGTACGCTATTACTGTGACGTTAAGAGTGAGATAAGCCCACTAAGATGTATACTTTTAGTAACTAGTACTATTACGTATCGAATTACACGACTGCGACAAATTCAAAAAAAATATTTATTTATTTGATATTTGTCACATTTTATCGTGGTATCACAGTGCACCGGCTCGAACTATTTAAGCAAGACTTTTCCTACTGTGTGCCTAATATTTATAACAATATCCCACTTACTATAAAGCTGGAGAATGTGCGTGGTTTCAGAAACAAATTAAAAATTGAACTGCGGAGACAGCAGGAGGAAGCGGGCAATCATTAGGCATATCACTAATTTTATGAAACCTTGAAAACTTTGAATTGGCATTGCACGGTGCTAGGATGGGTTTTGGATATAATTTCATTTAAGACTTTCGAGGGCCAATGAAAAACAGTTTGCGTTTACGCTAATTGACTTGGCCCTCTTTAACTCCATGAACTGTTTATTAGTATTATTATTAGTCCATATACTCTCCTTTGTTCAATTGCTTTTTTTTTGTATTACCCTTCTTTTATCAATATGGGCTTAATAAATATTATTATTATTAAACATCCACAGCACGTCAATTTTAAGAAAACGAGGCTTGGAAACACTTTTGTGTTTATGATATCGTAAAGAAGTACATTTACATTAGCATAAGTATTTGATATTGAATATTTCAGTGTAGTATCCTTTCCGGCTTCGTTTATAACTACCCCAAGGTATTTGTACTGGTCTACATGTTTTATTATGCCGGTCTCTAATTGTATGTCCTTTCTCGTTCTTCCAATTACCATATATTGGCCCTTATCTTTGTTCATTTCCAAGCCCCATTTAGTGTACTCCTCTTCTAGTTTATTTAACATATTCCTCATATCCTCTTCGTCCTCTGCAAACACTATTGGGTCGTCCGCGAACAGCATGGTGTGTATGTGGCTATCTCCTACCCCTATTCCCATCGGGTTGCATTTCCTTTTCCAATGTTTTAGGGTTGAATAAATATAGAGAAAAGAAAAAGAAATTAACTTCGTCGAATGTGTTAGTTGGCCAATCCTTTAATAGTTGGTGAGAGTGTAAATGTCAGTTTATTTTACATGGTTTTCTTATT